GACTGTAGACGAGACGCCAGGGCAGGGCCAACTACATTGCTGAAGGAGAATTTTCTAGAACTTTCTAGAAGTTTCTAAAAATTTAAATAATTTCTAGAACGCTGTGATTATAAAGGAAACATGATGGGAGACTATTTGGGTCTTATTCGTGAATGTAATTTACTGAATAATCGAAAATGACGAAAAACTACTCGTAAATTTTTTGTGGGCTCTCTTGTGAAAATCTAGAATACAAATAAATAGATGTTACTTTTGAATCATATGCCGTTTTGTTCATATTTTGCGTGAACGAGACTGTTCACATTTGCCAGTTTTCTCAATGTGAATAGCTAAATTTCAGAAATATCATTATCCTGGTCACAAATACAAAGTTTGAAGGAAAATGTTGTAGAGTAGCTAGCACTCCTTCAACACTCTACCAGATAGCCTGGCTCATAGACTTAAATAGTCTATAATTAACGACTTCAATTGTTGATTAATAAGTTAATACTAAGCTGATTAATATTCAGGCTGATCTTACTTAGTTTGGTTATATAGGATTTGACCCTCCTCTATTCCTTGTAAGTTGTCTTGTTAATTGTTTTGTTCTATGTTTTTTTACGATGTATCCTTTAGCACTGGTACTGAATAAATATATTAAGCACACGGTCTTCTCTGTGTATCATTCACCTTGATACAACACATCATAAATATTGGTAGGAGAAGGAAACTTAAGAAAGTAAGCTGAAAGAAAATAAATAATACAATTTGCTCTCAAGGAAGAATCCCATTGCAAATGCTGTCTGATGTCAGATAAGACCAATAAACCACATCTCAGTATAGACTATTAATGCTGTTAATGCATTTTAGTTAAAAAAAATCGTTACAATGAGGAAGCATTATTTGCCACTCCCGCTGCTAATTGATTCCATGAAAATTTATTGTAAAAATCATTTATATTCACAACATTTATATATTTCAGAGTTTAAGAAGGTACAAAGTTATTAAGAATCCCAATCTAATGAGCATTTACTAAAATATAACAAAAACATTTGTTGTAGTGTAGCTAGTATCCCTTCAAAACTCTACCAGATGGCCTGGTTCATAGCCTTAAATAGTCTACGATTTACGGACTTCATTTTTTACATTATTCGGAATATTGTCCTCATCTTTGTCGCCATATTTATTACAACGTTTCGGCCTTTCATTATCTGTCTATATTTCTGAGATGAGGTATTATCTACATTATTTACATTATTCGGACTATTGTCATCATCTTTGTCGCCATATTTATTACAACGTTTCGGCCTTACAGGATCTGCCTATATTTCTGAGATGAGGTATTATGTACATTATTTACATTATTCGGACTATTGTCTTCATTTTTGTCGCCATATTTATCACAACGTTTCGGCCGTTGTACGCTCCAGCCTTCTTCAGGTGGTTGGAATGTCGAACTGAACCCTTTATTTCGCTCACCGGGATAGACTGTTCTAATTCCAAGGAGCTATGACACAGTGGATAAAGGCGTTGGTTAGATCCAGTGAGGGGACCCAAAGAGTGTGAGTTTAATACCCGGTTAAGGCAGTGGAGAACTTTCAGAGGGAAATTAACAGAAGATAACTGATACCTGACACCCATTAGACATGGCACGTAGAGCGAGAACACTCTACCCCAGTGAGCGAAATAAAGGGTTCAGTTTGACATTCCAACCACCTGAAGAAGGCCGGAGTGTACAACGGCCGAAACGTTACGATAAATATGGCGACAAAGATGAGGACAATAGTCCGAATAATGTAAATAATGTACATAATACCTCATCTCAGTAATATAGACAGACTCTTACGGACTTCAAAGGTTGATTAATAAGTTGATACTAAGCTGATTAATATTCGGTTGATCTTACTTCATTTGGCTATACAGCATTTGTCCCTCCTCTATTCCTTGTAAGTTTGTCTTGTTAATTTTTTCGTAACTTACTGTTATGCGTTTTTTTGTATGTATCTGTTAGTACCAGATACTGGTGTTGAATAAATATATTAAACACTCATTCTTCTCTGTGCATCATTTACCTCGACGATAAAACAGAAATATTAACCATTATTCATACTTTCAATCCAATCGACGTTGTCGGATATTAAACAAATTCAAACGTCAATTGATCTCTCATCAAAATCTTTGTAAGATCGCTTGGCAACGGTTTTTGGAAAGTTTTATTGATTAAAAACTAGAATTTTAATGTCACTATTCAAGGTTTTATTTCTAAGAATGTGTTCGTCATAAGTAAGTCTCGGTTGATTTCAGGAAAATATCTCCGAATTCTGGTCCAAGAAATTGTATTTAATTAATGCAACTGCTAGGATCCACCTTACCATCATAATTCCCTTCATGCTTCAGTAAGAAGCTTTAAGTTCCGCTCAGACAACTTCTTCCCCAGAGCTGCTACTTCGTGGAAGTTCTGCACAGTAGGGTCAGTTGGGCACCGTCTGTGAGAAAAAGACGAAAGCAAATACGAAATAACAGGACAAAAGTCATGTTACAAAGTGTCATCTAAAGACATTCTTTGTAACTTCCGACATTTGTAACGAGAAACTTACAGAATTTAAATTTCTTAGAAACATAAGTAATTTCTATACTGGGGAATCTATCGTAATGGCGAATGGAGCATCGAACTTAAACGTTCGTTAAACATATCATAAACGGTGATGAAAAATGACTTACCTGAAACAGTATTTGATACAAAACTAGCAAGTATAAATTTACAGACCCGAAACCCTCAAACTCAGCTCTATGCAAGAAAGATAAGGTTGTCTGTGAAGTGTGATCGTCAGGGTAATATACATTTAGAGTTTTTAAAGACTCATTGATTAATTCGATTTTTACGGCTTGTGACGGCATCCCCCGGTCGCAGCGCCAACTGTGACGTTCTATCCTGATCTACCACGGCGCCAGTTGTGACGTGGTCGTTCCAGGGTCCTATCCCAGTCACGACATCAGATGTGACGTCCCTAAACAGCACCAATTGTGACGTCTTCGCCGCGGCGCCAGCTGTTCGCTCCTCGCTGCTCCGTCCGGGTGCCGCTGCTCCAAACGTGACGTTCTAACCCTTTGGTGATTCGGGTAGGAATCTGGTTAGATTTGATATCAGCCTCGCCGTTCCCAACCTGCTTCCAAGTTCTCAGCCAGTCTGGCGTCTTCAAAGCAGAAATAAAAATATTTCATTTTCCTTCGGTTCATGTGTCTGATAACAAAATTTTATTATCGCAGGGCAAAAGTCTGTTTTGTCGAAAAAAAAACTTAACCAGTGAAACTACTTGTGTGGGATTTTAATTTTCCATACCCAGCTAAGGCTCTAAGCTACACCTGTGTTTTGTCAATTATCAAAATCTAACGTTTTCAAGTGGACTTTCTTTGGTGACATCTCTTGATAACACAATTCCATTCGCGCGGACAGTGGAAATCGGTCAATGCTTGTTCGCAGGTGGCCTTTTAACCAATAGTTTAGATAACACCTCCCTATCCACTCAATCTCATTGTCATTATAATGAAACTCCTTTCGACATTTGACACTTATCCAAAATAACCCTTTTCTTTCTTATCTTTTCTTTCTTTCAAATCGCCTGGATGCATGGCGCCACAATCCACTTGCAAAAAGAAAGAATTATTCTTAAAACCTAAAATAAATTTCGGCCTTAAATAATCCTCAAATGGTTGATAAACCGTAAAAAAGCAAATCATATATCTATAAATATATCTTTCAAATCGCCTGGATTCATGGTGCCACAGGCTTATCAACCCTTTGCATGTTACTGGAAGCCAGAAAATATTTTTTAGAGTATAAGACCTTTTTTTAGATAATGATTAAGTGATACAAGTAATAACCCATGGTTAATTAAAATATTTTCAGTATCTGTCTATATTTCTGAGATGAGGTATTATGTACACTACTTACAATATTGTCCTCATATTTGTTGCCATATTTATCACAACGTCTCGGCCGTTGTACGCTCCGGCCTTCTTCAGGTGGTTGGAATGTCGAACTGAACCCTTTATTTCGCTCACTGGAGGAGACTGTTCTAGTTCCACGTGCCATGTTTAATGAATGTCAGTTATCAGTAATTTTCTGTTAATTCCCCTCTGCAAGTTCTCCACCGGCTTAACCGGGTATTGAACTCACGCTCTTTGGGTCCTGTCGCTGGAATATGTGGATAAAGTGGTTTAGTGATACAAGTCTTACTAATTAACCCATAGCTGGGTGAGAAGAGTTGGATCCATACCTAATCAGAATCTAATAAATAAAGAAGAAAATAAACTATGAACATAAAGTGGGGGATCAATTCTATATTATAATCATTATATAAACTGATCCCTCATATTATGACCTCTGTAATTTTAAAAAATTATATTCCAGACAATAGAAATAAATCTAAAAGACATATCTGTGTAGCTAATCAGTATTTCAGTGATTAATTGATTCGTTTTTTACGACTTATCAACCCTTTGCAACACTTTACGACTTATCAACACTTTTTTTTTATTTAAAGCCAGAAAATATTTTTAGATTGTAAGAATGTTTTGCTTTGGAGAAAATATTCATTTAATGATACAAGGCTTACTATTTAACCCATAGCTGGGAGGAGAAGAGGTGGATTCATTCCTTTTCGAGGGTTTTTGCGCGAAAGTGAATATAAACGAATCCAAAGTATCTGAACTTATAATTATCGTCTGTGTCTTAAATGAAAAATTTGAGATTGATCGTTTGATTGATTCGTTTTTTACGGCTTATCGACCCATTGCATGTTATTTAAAGCCAGAAAATATTTTTAGAGTGTAAGAATATTAATGATTTAGTTATAAAAGTTTTACTAATTAACCCATAGATGGGGGAGTGTATGAGGTGGATTCATTCATTTCCCATGGTTATCTGCACGTAATTCAATATAACTAACCGAACTGTAATTCGATTATCGCTCTCCTTGATTAACAATTCATTATCATTACCCCACCTGCACATCCAAGCTTATAGCACCTGGTATTCCGAAGCGGTCACCCATCTAGATACTGACGAGGCTCGACGTTGTTTAACTTCGATGATCGTACGAGAACCGGTGAATTTTTAAAGATCAAGGAGATACTAAATGCACATTTATAACTCCAGCAGCTTCAACCTGTCTATATAGATTAGTCAGGAACTCCCTGCGCTGGCAATTTGAAGATGTAGAATATTTTCATGGCAATTTGAGGATGTAGAATTTTATTCAGAAGGTATCGAAGAGCTGCCTTAATATGAGACGACAGAACATCGCAAATAATGGTGAATATATAATTAATTGAAATATTGAAGAATATATTTGATGAATTAAAGGAAAATTAAATATGACTCAACCAAATATATATCAGCCTATCTAGGAACTACATTAAAGACGGCCTTAATCCCAAGAAATATTCCAAGGCACTTATTTACTACATTAACCAGTAATGTTATTGGTACTGACCTGGCATTTCGGCTACAGTCAGTCTCTCATCGCCGTAACGCGCTTTTTTCTATAAATATTTTCATGGTAATTGTCCTAATGATGGTTTTGGTACCTAGATTTCATGAATTTAAGTTCAATACTAGATTGGCATCTAAACAAGTTCTTACCATTTTATATTTCAAATGGCTAGATGGAACTCTAAGTTCTATGCTAATAGATTTTTCTAGCGCACTTCTCACCTGTGTAACTCTTTTCCAACTTCTTTATTTGGTTTGGTTTGGTTTGGTTTGTTTTATGGCATATCAACCATAATGGGTTATTTAATGCCGCCAAGATTTTTAGTGCTGCTAATATTTTTTCAAAAAATGTATTGCTGGTAATATTTTTTCTTCCAAAATGTATTCCTGGTAATATTTTTTTTCTTCAAAAATAATTTGCTGGTAATAATTATTTACAAAAAAGTATTGCTGGTAAAAATGATTCTCAAAAATGTATTGCTGTTAATATCTTTTCCTTCAAAAATATACTCCTAGTAATATTTTTCTTTCAAAAATGTATTGCTGGTAATAATTTTCCTCAAAAAAATTAATGCTGGTATTAAAACCTATTTTTACACTTTAATAGTGTTTTGACACCAGTTTGGATGGGTGGGGGTAACTATTTTCCCAACGTTGGGACCCTAACATATGCTACCACCCCCGGGTCAGGGTGGAACTGGGAACAGCAGCAATTAAGAAATCCACAAAATCTCCTGATCTTGCTGCAAGATGTAGTTTTCGGTTTCTTGTTTTCTTGTCAACCTCGTTAAATGTAAAATGTTTTTCTTAAGTCTGTTCTTTTATTGAATTTTCTTCTGCCTGACATTTTTTTCATTTTCTTTCACACTCAGTAACCGCTTGTCTTTTAACAGCATTATCGATGGCTTGTGGAAATCTCTTCTGGCTTCTTGCTTTCCAGTCAAATTCGATCTTCAAAATTTAAATGCAATGTCAATCGTTATCTTCTGTCTTTTTTATTACTTTTCTTTTAATTGTTTTTCAAACTCTTTCCCACTAATTAAACACTTGAATCTTAGTGGCTTTATTACCATGTTTGAGGTGAAATATTATAAAAGAAAGGAATCTAGTCGTATTGATGATTTTAATTTGTTATGTGAAAAAATAATTTTAAAGTTCATTTCTTTGATTTTATTCTACATACATTTAAATTTGTGAAAAATGTCTGTCAATTAGACTATCTCTTAAGTGTTTTAATCTACATATACTTCTGCTATGGATGTTTTTCCCCTTTTTTACGCTGTGAATGGAAATATACTTTTTCAAGACGTACGTTATACGAAACTTACTCCTGTCGACATAGTTATACGTTTTTCAAGAGTCCGTGTAATGTTAGTCCCTAGTGTTTGTATTATAAACTAAGTATTGGTTAGTAGCATACAATACGACCTGCTTTGTGACGTATTTTATTATATATTTGTGATGGGGTATCGTTTAGTGCAGTCTGTATTAAATAGTATAGAGTTGAAACCAAAATGATGGCGCCCATGAGAAATTGCCTTTTTCCTTCTTCATCATCATTTATTACCAGTAAATAACAATTTCCTTCATCCTCTATGCACCGCGTCCCTTCAGGGCGTAGCCGATCATGGCTCTCCACAATTACCTATCCCGTGTGGCTCTAGTCCTTGTTTTCCCTTTGCTAATGCTCCCACACTAATTCTGCTACGCACTCACATAAGCTCGTCGGCTGACTCATTGACTCCGCCTATCTTTCATACTCTCACTATGCCCAGTGTGAGTTAAGTTTTTTAAGCCATCATTCCTCATTATATAAGGTGTCCATAAAGTTCGTATGCACTTTAAAAATTTATAACTTTATTTGTAGTTGCGATAGAAATAATCTGTAAAAAATGTTATAAAGTTTAATGTACCTAGTTTTAAGTATAGCTAAAATAACTAATGGGACTTCAGGCATTACTGTAAATCAGTTGCCAAATGTTTTCCGTGAACTGCAAAATCGTATTACCCTTTGTATTGCTAATGATGGAAGACATGTGGAAACTTAAATAAAATATCAATAAAACCTTAAAAAAATATAGATTTACTTCTTTCTAATCCTTTTTACGAATTATTTCTATCGAAAATACAAATAAAGTTATAAATTTTTTAAAGTGCACGCGAACTTTATGGACACCCTATCGATAAAATAACCTTCTGATACCTTAAGATACATTCGCCAGTCTGCAACAAAGGAATGGCTTGTTAATTTTACGCCATCTTAACGAAGCTTTTCTCTATTAATGACCTGAATGACCCCTTCCTGCCTTCCATCAGTATGGCTGATACTAACCTCCAGAAGAGTGTCTCGGTGTACCTTCTCGGACTAACATTCTCGACTGACATGAAGTGGAAAGACTGTACTGAAACCATTGTTAGTTCTTAAAAGAAAGTTGGTTCAACGTGTTATGCAAGAAAATGTTTTTCTCCCCAGAATCAATCATACATATCTATAAGTCTACCATTCGTCCATGCCTAGAATATTTCTATCTCATATTGTCTGGTGCCTCTGCTATTTACCTTGAGATCCTTGATAAAAATCCAAAGAAGAATCAGCAATATTATTGGTCCTGATCTGGTAGCTCGGTTTCTGTCACTTATTCATGTTAATTTTTCGGATGAACTCTTCTCTGTGGTACTTAGACTTTTTTAATCGCAGTACTAGACTGGCGTCGAGATCTCATCAATTCACAGTTGAGCTGGCGAGATGGAACCGTAAGTTCTATGCTAAGAGTTTCTTTTCTCGCTTGTGGAATTCTCTTCCGCTTTCATGTTTTACAACCAACTTTATTCTCCAAGAATTTAAATGCAATGCCAATCGCTATCTACTGTCCTACCGATTACTCTTTTCTCTTCCCGCTAATTAGTAATGTTCTCATTTTTTCCACACCCTGTAAACCCCTTTGAGTTTTAGTGGCTTTACTCCCTTGCTTGGGGTGTGTGGTGGTTACCCACTATTTGTACAAGGATGGCCATCAACAGGTTAGAAAGCCGATCGCGCCAGCACGGTTTATTATAGTCGCACATTGCTTGCACAGTACTATGAATTTTGTTAACATCAGGCAGACGCATAACGATGACAGGAATGAAGGCTTCCACTGCATAAAGACAAAGATAGTAGAAAAAACTGGAAAAGAAGAAACAAATTTGCCTAAATTGTTTACAGCCTTCCTTGAAAAATTGGAAGTAAACAGAAACGAGAAAACTCCAGTTACCTTCGCTTTGGTGACAACATTCTACTAATATAAGAAACATGGCGTCGAGAAATACTAAAGGGTTTACATAGGGAAAGTCTGAATGTAGATTTAAAAGAAACGGAAATGAGTCAAAATTAAACCCAAATTGTAATGAAAAAAAAACAAAAAACAAAAAACAAAAAAAAACAGAGGATGAAGAACTGGAAGAAATCCAGGAATATATACATATATATTTTATATATTTATTTTATTATGCCATGTCCTTATTGAAAGCGATTGTTACTTTCCGCAGATTCCTTTCTATGGGAGATTTTCATGCATTCTTGGAAAATATAGTGGAGTGCAACCTCGCTTCTCGGTTTGGAATTGGAAATTATCTTTCTATTAGAGAGTTTGTCAATACAGCTTGGCACCAGCGTCGTCGCAGAAAATGCCAGAACGGAATCTGATATAATATAGGACTGTCTTAAGGATTCCGGATTGGAATTCAGAGTTGTCTCCTAGTTGGTTTACAACAATGGATAAATAATCCAAACTTCTTTACTATTTTACCCATAGTTGGGGTTTTTGAAATCAAAGCTTTTTTCCTTCTCCTCTACCGGTTCCTGCACAGCATTTAACAAAAATATAGATATAGTGAAAATCTGTCTATATTTCTGAGATGAGGTATTATGTACACTATTTACATTATTCGGAGTATTGTCATCAACTTTGTCGCCATATTTATCACAATGTTTCGTTCGTTGTACGCTCCAGCCTTCTTCAGGTGGTTGGAATGTGGAACTAAACCCTTTATTTCGCTCAGTGGGGTAGACTGTTCTAGTTCCACATCCCATGTCTTAATGTATGTCAGTTATCTCCTGTTAATTCCCCTCTCCAAGTTCTCCACTGCCTTAACCGGGTATTGAACTCACACACTTTGGGTCCTCTCACTGGATCAAACCAACGCCTTTATCCACTGTGCCATGTGTTGGTTAAGGCAGTGGAGAACTTGGAGAGGGGAATTAACAGGAGATAACTGACAACTGACATCCATAGTTATAGTTAAGGTAAAATTTATGGCTCTAATTAACGCCTTTATCCATTGTGCCATGTGTCCTTGAGGAAGAAAAAAAACTAATAACTATAATAATAAATATGGTGACAAAGATGAGGACAATAGTCCGAATAATGTAAATAGTATAGTGAAAATCCTCTTACTAATATGCTTAAAATATATTTTGGTTTGGTTGATTTTGTTTTACGGCATATCAACCTCAATGGGTTATTTAATGCCGACAACATTTTAGGATAGATTCGTATGAATAGAATATGTATTCTTTGGTTTAGATTGGTTTGGTTTATTTTGTTTTACGGCATATCAACCTCAATGGGTTATTTAATGC